TGAGGTCTATTTACGGAGTAACCCAGACCTGTATGGTAAGCTAAATTAAACTAAAAGAGTTTAGAGCAAAAAGAAAGATGTTTATAAAAAGTTAATATGAGTATGTGGTTTACTTTTGTAGGACCTTTCTGGATCTGTGCAACTCTTGTTTTTGCCATCGCTGTTAGTGGAAACATCTCCAGTTTTCTTGTCAACCAGGGTCAGCCAGAGTTCAGATATGTGCCAGACTTCAGCAAAGGTTAGAGATATGTTGTTTGAAATAGTCCAAACAAAATAGACCTTCTGGCCTCACCCTAAAAATGACACTGGTTCTTTTGCTTGTTTTCCAGTAACTATGGCAGCCACAGCAATCTACAGTTACGCATGGTTAGTGCCTTTAGCTCTGTGGGGTTTTCTCACCTGGCGAAATAGGAAGATCACAAGCCTGGTGTCCTACTCCTTCTTGCAGATAGTGTGTGTCTATGGTTACTCGCTCTCTATCTACATCCCTGCTGTGGTGAGTCATACAGTCACAATATATACATGAATATAATGTGCATTATTCTGTGCATAATTACCGCATCTGGGTGTGATAAACACATTTGATAGAGGATTTTCAAGCATTCTCTATTATTATTATTTTGCAGATACAGTTTATTTACTTGCTTGTGTGCATTTGTGTGAAAAACAGATATTGTGGATAATACCAAGTGAAGGGTTGAGGTGGTGCTCCATCGTGGTAGCTTTGTGTCTCTCAGGATCTGTGCTGGTAATGACGTTCTGGCCAGCCATCAGGGACGATAAACCAAGGATTACCATTGTGATTATATCCACCATCGTGATTCTTCACGTCCTGCTTGCAGTTGGTTGCAAGGTATGTTTTTAAGAATCTTTATACATTAGGAATGAATGTGATTAACATAATCTATTATGAACAAAATACACAAAACATATTCAGGTCTATATTTGTTACTGAATGAATTCATCAATATCAGTCCATATCTGATATATTTCAGTCAATATTTGATATTTAATTGTGCATGCTTATTTTTCCTTATATTTACATTTAAATTAGCTTTGCTGGAACCTAATGCACACTTTTTTATTTAACTAACAATATAAAACACTGTTAAATGTTAAGATCTTTATCAAATCTCAAAATGAATATCGATTTTTTTTTTATACTGTACATTTATAATTTTATGCTTAGATTGACTGGTAGCATTTGAAATTATTTATTTTTTTATTGACAAACTAATTTATTATAGTATAAAATTTTAACATAATTATTTCTGGCTTATCTGTATTGTAATATCATTGCATCCTAATATGTATGCATATAATTATGCACTTACTAAAACAATACAAGCAAGGCATATTAGATGAAACTTTGTCTAAAATAAAAATGTTTGCCTCTGTTGCAAAAATGCTAGAGACGATATAACTAAAGTTGTGTAGCTGTACGAGCAACTCAACGCCAGCATTTTAGCACTGCTTCTTGCAGCGTTAAAGGATCAAACAGGTTGGTGTCAAATGTGTTTCCCCAGCGGAAGGGTGTGTTCGTGGAAACACGAGCAATAGTCAATGACTGGCTTGGAAACATGCCAGTTTGTGAGCAGAACCATGTCCTTATGGCTATCATGTGACGTCAATTACATTCATTTAATTAGGGATAGGGAATGCAGTATTTAGGGGACAAAGGTGCTGTCAGAGTCTGAAAGATTTGTGCCCTCTCTCTTTTTTCAGGCATGTTTCTTCAGTACATATGAGATGGATCCATCAAAGGATCACAATGAGCCATCGGCAGCGACCAACACTTCATCATCCACAAAGCCAAAGTGAATTACAGCCTTGGGTAAATACAGGACTTCAGTGAGGTGGCAGTGGCACTCTCTCATGTGCTTTTTAATAATGATGAAATGGCATAGAAATGCCAGCACTTTAAGACTTTTAGATGAGCCGAGTGTCATTTGATTGTAGCTGCTGATGGGAAAATAAGACAGTTGCATTTGATGAGGTGTTAACATGAGACAGGACTTCCTGTACATAATCTGTGCTCCTCGATAGACTGTTATTCTTCTGTAATTGCAGCTTCTGCTCTTGCCTTATTAGAGAGAATCGGTTATCTTGATAATGAGATTGTGGGTTTTCTGGATTTCTTCATCTTGTAGTCTGTGAAAGTAAAGCCTTCATTTTGGTATGTTTATGTTTGTAGGTGAGCAGCGAAACCTGGAGATAACCATCTACAACATGTTTGATGTTTTCTGATTTGAGGTTCAGACACATGTTACTGTTACAAAGTAGAGGACATGTGTATATACTGTGTAGCTGTGGTTTAAATATTTATGTGATAATTGAGCTTGAGATGGTTTTCAAAGGGTCACTCTCCTGTTTCTACCACTTTGGAACGTGTATATGTACTTAAAATATTTTAACACTTTATAAAACTACAGGTCCAGCAGAAAAAGGGATGGGAAAAATAAAATATGAATTGAAATGCACATAAACAGAAACTGATTACATATTAAAATTTTTATAAAGTTGAAAATCAAAGCTACAGTTTATTTAAATATTTTACACATTTTCAGTTCTCTGTGGTGGCCATTGATTTTTTTTTTTTTTTGCTATTATTTTTACTCTGTATATTTTTGTGAGATTTGTAACTAGATCTATGCCTTTTCTTTAAACAAGATACTAGCCTAGAACATAAAATGCCTGAACAATTAACTGTATTCCAAGACGTCACATTGTAATAAATATTTAGCAGCTTTTTTCCCCTTTTAAAATTACATGCACACAAATACAGACCAAAATGGCAAGCATATACTGAGCGTATAAAGTTTTTTTCCATTTATAATTTCTCAATGATTGATGATGATACTGATAGCCGAGTGGGTTAGAAGCAGATCATAGAATTTCACTCTCAGCATCATTAAGATTCACAAACAAAGGTTATTGTCATAGATCAAATCTATCTTGTCTTTGATGCCAGTATCTGATACAGTGCAAAGTTTCATATCTCCGAGCACCATCAGCAGTGCACTTTTAACCTTTATTCACCACAGTCATTAGATTAATTAGATAAATTATTATTATTTTTTTTAAGTTGGCACTGGCGTTATGAAATGGCTCGGCTACATTTTCCAAATTAACAAAATAGAAAAGTTGTGTCACTTGAAACTGTGCCAATGTGTGGTGTGCCCTAATTAATGGTCATTCTAGCCTTAGCTTAGAGTTACACGAAGCTGCCTCCCAAACCTACAACCTTTGTGAAGGAATGTCAGCTTCACAAGTCACTGTTTCCCTTTACACTGTGGATTAAAAATAAGGAGGCTTTATTTTTGGATCATTGAATTCACAGGTATCTCCTGACATTATTTTGATGACTTGCAAATGGAAAACCTATTTAAAGAGGATTTGACCCGACGACCTGTATCAAGGAACATGTCTTTTCAATATTGCATTTAAAACTGCAAATGAATGATGGCTGGGAAAGTGGAAAAGGTGTCCAAATACGAAACTTTAAAGCTTTTGGAGAAGTGCCGGAAGGAAAGAGACGATGCTTTGCACCGCGAGAATACGATGAGGGAGAAAATGAGACAATATGAGTCTCGAATGAGATCAACCGAAGCGCTTAAACAGAAATTAAAGCAACTGACTTTGGACAACAAGGAGCTGCGGAAACAAGTGAAGGTCCTGCGGGCTGAAATTGGTTTAGAGGCCAGTCCTAAATTTTACGGAAAAACCACCAAGGATATAATCAACGACCTGCACGAGAAGGAGCGCGAGTGCAATTCACTTGTTGAAAAAGCGGGTAAATTAAGTTTGACGATTGATGAAATAACATCTGAACTGGCCAACACCGTGACCTCGAAGACTCTGCTGGAGGACCAGGTCCAGTCCCTGCAACAGAACCTGAAGGACATGACAAACAACCAGCGGCGTCTTCTGAAGCTCTGGGAGGACAAGAAGGCTCAGCGGGAGCAGCTGTCACTGCCCGCCATACCGCAGAGACCCGGGCAAAAACCGCTGGTGCATAAAGGCGTCCAGACGGAGATGTCCATCAGTTCAACCCAGATATTGCCCACCAACGCATTTGAGACCAAGACCCGCCGAGAGATCGATAAAAGCAGAACCAGTCTGGAAAGACGCAACATCACTTTAGCGAATGGCACTCATCGAGAGAAAAACGCGTTCATTCAGAATGAAGCGAAAGGAATACACAACTGACGATTATTATTTCACGAAACATTTTTGTGTCTGTCTACGCGTCATTATGCTGCTCAATGCCTCAACTTACAGCATTATTTTTAAATATATAGTTTTTAGTATGTTTAAAATTATTAAGCAACAACCTGATTGAAACAACCGAAACATTGAGGACTATATGTTACTGTACCTTAATTATTTCGTATGTATCGACCCATTATTACAGTCTTTTTAGACTGCTGTTTGATGTAATGCCCTCAAAACATTGTGTATAATGAAATACTGTTTAACATTAAATATAAATGTAATTATATAATTTTATTCTGATTTTTCCTTTTTAATTAGGATAATGTTGTAATTAAGTGATACAATTAATTATTTAATATTTGTAATGTTGAATAATATGCTTCACAATAGTATTATCTTTTGAAAAGAACAGCTATAAATTTGCGCAGAATTCACATTTCTGTATGGGCTATCTCTTTAATGGGATAGTTCACCAAAAATGTACATTTAGTCAACATTTACTCATCATAAATTCTTTCCAAACCATTATGACTTTTCTGATAACGTTACTCTACAGAACACAGAAAAAATTTCGAAGAATGTTGATAACCAAACCTTTTAACGTTACGTTTGACTTCCATTGTATGAACAAAAAAAACACACACATTTCTCAAAATATCTTCTTTTTATTTTCCCACAGAATAAAGAAAGTCACATGAGGATGAGCAAATAATGGCGCATTTTTTAATTTTGGGGTGAGCAGCTAACCCTTTAAGTGTGATTGTATTCAGGCAGTAAGTCAGACACAGTCGCAGGGGTCCTTATGAGGTCCTTCGAATGTGTGGCGCGGGTAATGTCCACACTTTTGCCATGTTGATATGGATTTTACTCAAGTGATGCTGAACTGAAACAAGAATGATAAAATGTTTTCCCTGAAACAGAATTCTTGGTTTATAAGAAAGGTAAGGACTGGTTAAATATAAATCGTGTTTAAATAACTGAACGGCAACTAACTAATTAGGAAGTCAGTGTTTAGTCGGCAGTGTATGTAACGTTAAAAGACTTCTGGACATCATCATGTACTGTTATAGTGACATGTTTTGTGTCTTCTGGTGTCTGTTTATGAAGTGATAGTGTATTTAAGTATATATTAATTGTTTGAGCGTTATTAGAATAAACGTTATTATCGTAGAAAGATTGTGTTTGAGGCTGAAAGGATGTATGAAATGTGCCTGTGCTAGACCAAATTCTCACTTCATTTATTTTCAGGTTGTGATATGGAGGGCTGTGGCGAGTATTGCATGGTCAGTGCTTCTCTTGCCAGTGACAGCTACAGTCTTTGTGCTCTTGAGCAGATTCAGCCCTTTTCACCCCATCCAATGGATTTCAGGTGAGGAAACGAGTACGAGTGTCTAACAAAATGCATAATTACAATACGTTACTGATACTGAGAAGTGCTCGAGTGTGAATTCATTATTTATATAAGCAGTAGTTCTGACTTCAAGGGACATAATACATATTCTAAACCCTCTAAAGCCTGATTAATGAAATAATAGTGATAAATATTTTTTTGTAACAGGTTATTAATTCCTTTGGACAATTAAAAAAGTTTGCTTATGTGTTTTATGTTTCGTATCATATTGGATTAATCTGGATTTTATGATCCATATAGTACAATGACATTCTTAGCTTGTAATGTAAGTCAAAGATATCTGTAACAGTATAACAAGCTACATATATAAACTACACTCTGTAACCCAAAAATATCATCATGATATTTAAATGCTTAGTTGTATTATATATAGCTCTGTATTTTTTTGTGGTGTGCAAAACATGCAATGCAATACAATAATGACTTGGAGATGTACAAATAAATTTTCCTCAAAAGCCTGATGTATCATATTTGATACTCACATTTAACATGTGTTTTTATTAAATGTGATGTATAAATAATCAAGTAAACCCAAGTTGATTAAATCCAGTAAATTTTTGTCTTGAAATATTGCCAACAATATAAAAGTTCTTATGTTCACTTTATATAAACCAGTAAATATTTCCCAGCAAAGAGATGTGTACCACAACCTGAAGGGGAACATTTTTAGATTTTACTTGCTTAAAATATAAACTATCATATTAATTTGGAAATTCACATCACATATAATCAGTGTTGGGGGCAATATATTACAAGTAACGCAAGTTACGTAATCAGATTACTTTTTTCAAGTAACTAGTAAAGTAACGCATTACTTTTTAATTTACAAGAGAATATCTGAGTTACTTGTTCAAATAAGTAACGCAAGTTACTTTTTTTTTTAAATTTATTGATTGACAGCTCTCCTGTCCCCATGTTGAGAGAAATCAGAAGATATTACTGTAGTTCTAAAATAAATATGAATATACATTAATTCATCTCACTCACAAAAAAAAAACAAAAAACACACAGATTCAGTATTCCTCAAAATGAATAAAAATAATGCAACTCAGAATATGACGCAAACCTGCAATAATTAAATGTTAAACAACACAAATATCCTTTATGTATTTAATCCCATTCTATTAAGCAATGTCTTTGCTTCTGACCTTCGATGATCCAGTTCAACCATACTAATAAGCAAAAATTACTCTAGACAAACATTTGTGTGTTTTTTTTTTATTGCTGAAGTGTTGAAATTTCTTCTTCTGCATTCTACTGTACGGACGAAAATTTACATTTCCTTCAGCCTGCGGCTTATTCATTTCACTTTTGGTGTGAAAAGGCTTTTATATTTGCCAAAAATATAATTTTTTTTTATTTTAAAAACAAACAAGCAAGCCCTGTCCAGATTTAAAAAGTAATGCAAACGTAACGTAACGCATTACTTTCCATAAAAAGTAACTAAGTAACGTAATTAGTTACTTTTTTATGGAGTAACGCAATATTGTAATGCATTACATTTAAAAGTAACTTTCCCCAACACTGCATATAATACTGTATGCTTTATATGGTTGATAGATATCTGAATTGTTCGTTAGTCAGCATCTCAAACATTGGTTACAGATTGCACAAGTCTTCTTGCGGCCTCAAGCACCATCTTTTCCCTTGTGGTGCTGTGTGGGGTGGTTCTGATCACTGGCTTTTTTAACCTGGAGTTCTACACTTGTGAGTAGATTTGTCTTTTATGGATGTGCAAAATCATCACATTTGCTATTATTGCGTTGTAATAAAATGTATGCAGATTACTTATTTCACTCTTTGTGTTTCCTTAAGTGGTTCCCTCTATTCCATGTTCACGCATGGCTCTCCTGGGGACGGTGCTCCACCCTCGACAGTGTGTTCATTCTTTGGTCTACTGCACCATGGGCATGCTGGTAATGTGGTGTGCTTCTGTTACCATCGGTGGCCGTTACAGCACTCTAGGAACTCCCTGCAGGCAAAGCCAGAGGTGGGTTATGACCTGAATCTGTTTGATCCACATACAATGACCCGTCGTTGTGCAATCTCTTTGCCTGGGGATCAGGTTTCATTAATTGCATTCTAGGCACTGCGGCTCTTTTGACCCCAGGCAAAGAGATTGACACTCATACAGTTATCTTAAGTTGTTTTAATTAACTCTGTGAGTAATCTTATCTCATCTCAAAATTACCAGGAGGTCAGTCTTACCCTAATATAGGCCAAGAGCACCTCTAAAATAAAGATGAAATGTTGTCTCTGTCTGTGTTTGTTTTTTAATGACATACTTTTTTGCTTTATGAAAATTCTAACAATATGTGAATAATAACTGTCCCTTATTTTATGTTTGCTTCTGTAGTGGTGAAGTAGTGACCTGTCTGAATGAGTATCATCTCTTTATTCTCCTGGCTGGGGCCTTCATGGGGTACAGTCATAGTTTCTTGGGAGTGGTTCAAAATATGTACTATGTGTCCTTTCAACCCATACAAGTAAGTGTTTGGCTATTGTATTCAGATTAGTTGCTAAATGTTACACGTATTGGTTAATATTATTTTTTTTCTTTATGGCCGATACCAATATCTTCGAGAGCAGGCAGATGGCCGATATGATATATACAGTGGCATTCAAAAGTTTGGGAACCCTTTGCAGAATCTGTGAGAATGTGAATAATTTTAACAAAATAAGAGATCATACAAAATGCATATTTTTTATTTAGTACTGTCCTGAGTAAGATATTTTACATAAAAGATGTTTACATTTAGTCAACAAGACAAAAAAAATAGCTGAAATTATTAAAATAACCCCATTCAAAAGTTTGGGAACCCTTGGTTCTTAATACTGTGTGTGGTTACCTGGATGATACACAAATTTATTTATTTATTTTTTTTGTGATGGTTGTTCATGGGTCCCTTGTTTGTTCTGAACAGTTAAACCGAGCACTGTTCTTCAGAAAAATCCTCCAGGTCCTGCAGATTCTTCAGTTTTCCACCATCTTTTGCATATTTGAACCCTTTCCAGCAGTGAATGTATGATTTTGAGATCCATATTTTCACACTGAGGACAATTGAGGGACTCAAACACAACTATTAAAAAAAGGTTCAAACATTCACTGATTCTCCAGAAGGAAACACGATGCATTAAGAGCTGAATGAAGATGTCCAAATTTTGTTGAAATATCTTTTTTTTCCACGTAGTACTGCCCTTTGGAAGCAACAGAAGATACTTGCATGTTTCCCAGAAGACAAATTAAGTACAATTTACCTTGATCTTCAAATTCAAAAAGTTTTTTGTTAAAATTATTCACATTTTCACAGATTCTGCAAGGGGTTCCCAAACTTTCACATGCCACTGTATGATATCACACTGTTTAATTTAAAGGGATAGTTCACCCCATGATTTACTCACCCTCAAGGCATCTTAGGTGTATATGCCTTTCTTCTTTCAGACAAATACAATCAGAGTGATATTAAAAAATGTCCTGGCTCTTCCAAACTTTATACTGGCAGTCAATGAGGGTCGAGATTTTGATGCCCAAAAACATGCATCCATCATAAAGTGCTCCACACGGCTCTGGCGGGTTAATAAAGGCCTTTTGAAGTGAAGCGATGTTCTTGTTTAAGAAAAATATCCATATTACTTTATAACTTTATAAACCGTAATCTCTAGCTTCTGCCAACTGTCAAATGCGTGTTCATTCCAGCAGATGGCGTAGGACGTAGGAGGATTTTGATATAATCCAAGAGGATACTGATTTTCCTTTGCTGTAAACAAAACTTGGTTCCCACCAGACTAGCATATTCTCACATTATTAACCCCCTGGAGCTGTGTGGAGCACTTTTTATGATAGGTGGGTGCATTTTTTTTGGGCTTCAAAATCTCGACCACCATTTCACTGCCATTATAAAGCTTGGAAGAGCCAGGACATTTTTTTTAAATATAAATCTGACTATTCGTCAGAAAGAAAAAAATCATATACACCTAGGATGGCTTAAGGGTGAGTAAATCTTGGGGTAATTTTCATTTTTGGGTGAACTGTCCCTTTAGGGATTGTATATAACACATGCAAACAAATTGCTGAATGTAATTTATATTTATTTTGCATGATATTTAGTCAAATAATTAGAAATAGGAATATTTTGAAAATGAAATCTGTTTGAGAAAAATAATTAGGAAAACTAGAATCATGAAGTTAACCCTTCAGAAGGGTGGTAGGTTCAATCACAATCCTGTCAAAAAAAAAGTCGTGCTTCTGACTCTTATCAGCCAATGATGGGTAATTTAAAAAATGCAAAGTGCTGACTAATACCATGACAGTATATCAGTCCACCGCTAGTCTATACTGTATACACTATATTTATTTGTAAAATGTTTTGTAGTATGATTGAATGAGAAATAGCTAAATCATTAATGCTTTCATTAATAATTTATCAGCGCAAATCTCTTTTGTCCCTCCCACATTGGTTGTGAAGCAATACAAATATCCGCGGTTCAAGGGCTGTCTGCCAATGGTGGTGAAGTGCAGTGTTATTCAGGCCTTATATTCAGCCAGGAATTTTGCTGCTTTCTATTTCTTTTTTGGTAAGTTATATTTATGATCAGAGATGCATCCTCTAATAATTATCTGTTTTCCTGCTAGATTCTCTTCAAATGTTGTTTTATTTTTAAATGTTGTTTCTTAGGGTATGCTCCTAAGACCTGGATCTCCAGCACACTTAATCTACAGATAGACAGGTCAGATTTGGAACTAAAGTCTACCAAAACCTGAGTGTTTACCTAATGTGAACTAAAGCAGCATAAACCCATAATCAAGAATATTTGTAACTCTTTATATCCCTTTTGTAACTTTATAGTTCTCTCCAACCACTGGATTCATTGACTGGATTTCTAGACTTCTCCCTCCTTTACCACCTGTCAATCAGTGGCACTTTCCTGTACCTAACCTGGTATCTCACTGTGCTTCTCTTCAGGATTTATGTCACAGAGGTACTTAAATGTGAAGGTTTCACTGTGGGATATATCAAAGCAACTGACATTTGTGTAGTACCTGTTTTGAAAATGATCCTGATGGCTGGTTGTGCATCTTCAGGCCTACAGTTTTCCAGTGCAGTCCACATTTACTGAGGATGCAGAGCAGTGTCTTCCCAAAGTTTTGGCTGAGAAGAACACTTTAGTCATGAAGGTTAGAGATTTTTCCTTTATTTTCCAGAAAAAAATCTAGGGTCAGAATTTTTTTAAATTGTTATCTCTAGGCTTATGGAAATGAATGAAATCTTTTGTTTCAGAAATAGAACATTTCTATATTGAATATACATTTTTAAGTTAAACTTACCTGTTAAATACTGCTTTTTGTGAGTGCAACCTCTAAAATTTATTATAAAAAGGTAGGTAGTGTAAGGGATACAGGCCAATTTAGCTCAAAGGGAATCATTTAAGATTTTATAGGGAATTTGGACAGAATCATTGTTTTACGGCTGATCACTGAGTCGGCCAGCGATTCATTGAACGAGCCGTATAACATAAATTCTGCATGGATATTAATATCCAAAATATAGTGAAAACACTATT